TGTTAATTAAATTCTTGTTATTGAATTTAATCCTTTGTACCATTATTATTTAAACGTCGGTATTGCTGACTGGGGGCTCAGAGATATACACCAACATTCACTAACCAAACTTCTGAACCATAATCGAATCTGGGTGTGTGCCATATTTAAATAAATATTGGAAGCACCCACCCAATTTCTTACAATCATGCAGGGCGATAACAAAACCCGTAATATTGGATAGGAAGAGTTAAATTAAATTGTTGTTGTAATGGTTTTCTCTGGATATTGTTTGTGTTTTGTTTTTTCGTATTTTATAAACTTGGCCTATACCAGAAACTGTGTACCAATTTTTTTATGTAACCTAAATGCAACACGATTTGTGGTATCATGAAATTGAATTCAGTTATAATAATGATATGTATGCACTAATTTGATCGTCGGTGTAGTAAAGATACGGTAACTATATATATATATATATATATATATATATATATATATATATATATATATATATATATATATATATATATATATATATATATAGTGTGTGTGTGTGATTAAGGTTAAAAACATTGCTTTAACAATGTTTTAGTCATATCTCTACGATGTATGCAGTGTGGTTGTTTATAGTGATGTCTAGCACTGGAGAAACATGACGAAGACATGTAGCATTATGTGCCACCCAGTCACAATGTCCGTTCACCAGGCCGACCAGTTAGAACACTAACCTCTTAAAGCATCCAAGATTGACGTCTTAACCATTTAGCCCAACGGAGTGTTTAACTATGTATAGTTCCAAACTCTGTATGTGTGTGTGTGTGTGTGTATGTGTGTGTGTGTGAAACATTGTGATCATGTCAATTTAAAACTTAAAACAATATCAATACAGCAATTTATTTAGTTACATTGAAATTTAAATATTAATTTATACTTAATAATAATAATAATAATAATAATAATAATAATAATAATAATAATAATGAAACACGTTCTATGTATCTAGCCGCTAGAGTGGATCATTTTATTTGTTCGTAGCCATCAGGATTGGCTTAGATTAACCAGTAAGTTTGATTACATTTTCTGTGTTTTCTCATTAGAGTGGATCATGGCCGTCCGTGTCTAACCATTAGGGTGGATGATGTTGTTTGTGCCTAATTATTTGGGTGAATCATGTTATATGTGTCTATCCGGTAGGATGGATCGTGCTATCAGTGCCACGTTATTAGGGTTGATAATGTGATAATGCTCTATTTGTCTCAACTATTCGGTGGATAGTTCTCTCTGTGATTGACCATTAGTGTGTATCAAGCAAGCCGTGTCTAACCGTTAGAACGACACATATGATGTAACTATCATTTAAGGTGGAGCATTCTATATGTGTCTAACTATTAAAATGGATTGGATCATGTTTTATATGTATTGTCATTCTGATGGATCATGTCATCTGTGTCTTGCCATTAGGTTGTTATCATGTATCTGTGAATAGTCATTAGGGTGGATCATGGATCTGTGAATAGTCATTAGGTTGTACCATGTATCTGTGAATAGTCGTTAGGGTGGATCATGGATCTGTGAATAGTCATTAGGTTGTATCATGGATATGTGAATAGTCATTAGGTTGTATCATGGATCTGTGAATAGTCATTAGGTTGTATCGTGGATCTGTGAATAGTCATTATGATGGATCATGGATCTGTGAATAGTCATTAGGTTGTATCTTGGATCTGTGAATAGTCATTAGGTTGTATCATGGATCTGTGAATAGTCATTTGGGTGAATCAGGTTATCTGTAACTAACCATTAGGCTGGATCAGATTATCCGTCACTAAAAATTAGGGTGGATTAGATTATCTGTAACTAACCATAAGGGTAGATCAAGTTTACTGTAACTAACCATCTGGGTCGATCAAATGATCTGTGAATAACCATTAGGTTAGATCATGTTTTATGTAACTAACAATTAGGGTGGATCAGATTATTTGTAACTAACCATTAGGGTGGATCAAGTTTTCTGTAATTAACAATTATGGTGAATCAGGTAATCGATAACTATTAAGGTGGTTCAGATTATATGTAACTACCCTTTAGTGTGGATTCATGTTTTCTTTAACTAACCATTAGGGTGGATCAGGTTATCTCTAAATAACCATTAGATTGGATAAGATTATCTGTAACTAACCATTAGGGTGGATCATGTTTTCTGTATCTAACCATTTGGGTGGATCATGTTTTCTGTAACTAACCGTTAGGGTGGATCAGATTATCTGTAACTAACCATTAGGGTGGATCATGTTTTCTGTTGCTAACCATTAGGGTGGATCATGTTTTCTGTAACTAACTATTAGGGCGGATCAGGTTATCTGTACCTAACCATTAGGGCGGATAAGATTATCTGTAACTAACCATTAGTTTGGATCATGTTTTCTTTAACTAACCATTGGGGTGGATCATGTTTTCTGTAACTAGCCATTAGGGTGGATATATTATCTGTAACTAATCATTAGGGTGGATAAGGTTATCTGTAATTAACCATTAGGGTGGATCAGACTATTTGTAACTAACCATTAGGATAACTTCCACCTAACACGTTTAGCACGCCTTGGAACACTTTGAATAAGTACTGATGTATTAGTAAAGGAAATCAACAAGGTTGTTATATGTATATCACATACCTTTTCCTTTTAGTTCCATAGTCCCAGAATATATCAGATTGCAACTAGTTTTCTGTGATGTTGACGAGGCCATCTTATCGTCTAAACGAACTGTGAATAAAAACGTTTTTGATTAAAGGTGAACCTAGTCGCTAACTTAACCTATTGCCGGTGTTAGAACTGAGTAGCAAAGGACAAAGAATAAACTTCCAGAAAAAAAATCCATATACAAAACCACCATTTAATTTAGCAATTAACAGAACTATCAGCTTGTGTACAAAACTGTAATGTTATGCACCACGAAATTGATCTTGACTGTGCTTATAGGCATCAAGTAAATATATACCATTTAGAACTACAACACTGTCTTGACTGCGTGTGCAAATACAAACATCGTGGATTATTGTCTTATCAAACTGGAAAAGTATATTCACCTTATATTAATAATGTAATAATATCGATTATATATATATATATATATATATATATATATATATATATATATATATATATATATATATATATATATATATATATATATATATATATATATATATATATAACCAATTCCGTTCAGTATCAGCTTATGAGAAGAAAATTAATATTTGAGAAATTCATGTCATGCTGCGTCAGTCGTCCGTTGTCCGTCTTACTGCTTGTCAATCAATCTAGAGTAGTCAATTATGAGCAGATTGTGATCTTTCTTAAGTCTATGGGATATTGAATGAGTTTGCCCGTTGTCCTTGGTACAGATTGTCAATCAATCTATAGTAGTCAGTTACGAGCATGGTGTGATATAAGAACTATGAGAAATTTGATGAGTTGGTCCGTTGTCCTTGGTAAAGAACGTCAATCAATTTAGAGTAGTCAGTTATGAGCAGGGTTTGATCTTTATTATACCTGTGAGAGATTTATGAGATAATGAGCTTGATTCTGAACAACAACTGCGTCTATTTATGTCCCATTCTTGCATGTTGGATTATGAATAGCACTTGTACACATTATTGGGGCTTTCTTCCGTGTGATCGCTGTGGAGGTTTTATTTTCAGACCTGTATTTGATACCTTATTATAATATCTTTGCAAAGACGAAGAACCTTTTGGCTAGAAACACACATTACTTGAAATTGTCCCAACATCTCTCTCTCTCTCTCTCTCTCTCTCTCTCTCTCTCTCTCTCTCTCTCTCTCTCTCTCTCTCTCTCTCTCTCTCTCTCTCTCTCTCTCTCTCTCTCTCTCTCTCTCTCTCTCTCTCTCTCTCTCTCTCTCTCTCACTCTCTCTCTCTCTCTCTCTCTCTCTCTCTCTCTCTCTCTCTCTCTCTCTCTCTCTCTCTCTCTCTCTCTCTCTCTCTCTCTCTCTCTCTCTCTCTCTCTCTCTCTCTCTCTCTCTCTCTCTCTCTCTCTCTCTCTCTCTCTCTCTCTCTCTCTCTCTCTCTCTCTCTCTCTCTCTCTCTCTCTCTCTCTCTCTCTCTCTCTCTCACGCAAACACCATGAATTCAAACAACCTTGACTGTGTCTTATACAGCATTCACAGCGTGTTTAACATGTACACTTATTGAAGGTGGTTGGCAAGAGAGTGATGATGATCATGGTCATATCAACGATATCGACTACTCGACCTAAATAATATGTAAGAACAAAATTCACCACGGCCTTGCCAGGGCTGTAATCCAGGACTTCCTTAACTCAAGAAGGACGCTCTACCATTTGGGTTATCAGAGCTGACACACCTGTTACATAGGTATTACCAGCCCATTATTTCTACCTCTTTCTATATATGAAGCACAAAATTTACCCTACGCCAATATTTTGATAGCAACATGAAAAACATACCACGACTATCAATATTTGTTGTTAAGATGCTTCATTCACAAGCAATCATGGTTCAGTCCCATGTATGATGTGTCTACCCATTGATAAGTATGCATTGTTCCTCTTATATCTGCCTCACGTGGTCTGTATTAATCATTTCGTGCACGTGCTGAATTCAAAACAGATGATTATCCTAGTACCTAATTGCAATTATTGGCTTTATATGTTTCCGGGTAAAATAATTGGAATAGGAGACCTTTAAAACTTTTTAGTTTTTAGGTAATCCATTCCTTTATTAATTCATATATTCCATATGATTATTTTTTAAATTTCCTTTTTATAGTGGCATTCCAATTTTTATTTGAAATGCTATCTTGTATTCTCAGAAAACTTCTTTGGTTATCTTTTATGCCTAGTTTGTTATGTTTTATTGACTACCAAATATATCATAAAACAATGGTTACGTTTAGATGAAAAACAAGCAATTTAAACTAGGATTGTGTGCATCATTTTTATAAAAACATTTTCAATAAGAAGTCTCCAAGTCTGATTGGCCTGCTCCGGTGGCCTAGTGGTTAGAGCGTCCGCCTCAAATGCGGAAAGTCACCGGTTCCAACCCGGCCGAGTCATTCCGAAGACTTATAAAAATGGTACTAACAGCTGCCTCGCTAGGCGTTCAGCATTACGAGGATAGTGATAGGACTAGTCAGCCTGGGGTCAGGATAATGTGACTGAGTGGGACATCATGCTACATGTCTGCGGCATGATGCCCCAGTCCTAGACATCACTTTAAGCTGCCACACTGCAGACATCGTAGCGATATGAATGAAACATCGTTGAAGCTACCTTCAAAATTCAAATCACACACAAACACATTCACCTCTCACATGTCTAGTTCTTTTAATTTGAGTTATAATCCCTATTTCGACGCAAATTAAAACAAAACATACCCGGTAAATAACGTGTACAATTTAGTTCTGATTCCGTATCGACCCAATCTCACTCCTTCCGTTTCTGCTACCACTTTTATAAATATCACCCATCTATATCGCGTACTGAACTGTGGTCACCACGGCCAGCAATGTTACCTCTGCAACTGTTAAACTCAATTAACTGAGTGTTATTGCCGAACAACCTCTACCTTCGATGACTCTTCTAAAACTTCTTTTATCCAAGTCCGTTGTACATCGACCCAAAACTGGCCTAAACTTCAACCACGTGATATAAACACGTTGCCAGCTTGTGGATAAGATAGCTGCTAAGATCATGTGACGAATGACAGTGTTCGTTACATGACATGTTCTATATTAAAGTGCCACCTTCCATTGTGCCGCAATGACATCTTTGAAAAAGCATATACGAGACATACGTCGTTATCTGTGGATGGTTCTGTGATGATAGACAAACATTTTCAAACATTTTCTTAGGCATATTTTAAGAACTATCACACCCACGTTTTCTGATGCTCCAACCCCCATATCTCTCTCTCTCTCTCTCTCTCTCTCTCTCTCTCTCTCTCTCTCTCTCTCTCTCTCTCTCTCTCTCTCTCTCTCTCTCTCTCTCTCTCTATATATATATATATATATATATATATATATATATATATATATATATATATATATATATATACTGTCTCTTGAATGCCACCACCAGCATAATTACTATAAACAGTCATAAGTATATTGGTACTTGCCAGGTCAACACGAAGCAAACGATTCCAGGTCAGCTTACTTTGTATAAGTGAAAAAGCGTTCAAATGTCAAAAAACTATCATAAACAGTAATAAGTATAACTATTATGAAATAGATTGTATGTTAAATACATAGTATATAAGATAAATTAAACGCTTAATAACAGCAATATTGATCCATATATATATATATATATATATATATATATATATATAGATATAGAGATATAGAGATATAGATAGATATTAATGCCGGTGTGGTATGCGATGTTGATGATGATGAAGATGATGATGACGATGAACGTGATACTTATACTGCTGTTACTTGTCTGCTACTTCCGCTCTTTATATATATATATATATATATATATATATATATATATATATATATATATATATATATATATATATATATATATATATATATATATATATATATAGAACCCTAAATTTAGGATCCACTTGAAACTTGAAGGAAAGATGATCTGTACAATAAATTACAAATTTTTTCTCTTAGCATTCTCGTAAAAATAGGTTTAGGCTTTAATAACCTATCCGTAAATCCTTCTCGAATATACAGGTGTTTACACCTATACTTTCTAATTATCCGCGTGAAACAACAATGCTGTGCACGCTATCTATAATTCACGAGGTTCGTAGGTATGGCGGTTGGGAGATCGTCAACCAGGGCAACAGAAATATGATTTAAATCAAACTGGCGAACGCCTTAGACTACCTGGCCATTAGAGAGACCTGCCGATCTTCATGTTGATTAATTATTCCATGGTGCAATACGTCTTGCATTATTTTGAGAGAACCATATAAAATATGAATTATAAATGAACAAAACGTCATGTACATCTTTCTCAAAATTACTATCAAATTAAATCATACATGGGCTTGGTATTTGTCACCCACTGTGAATACGTGTAATGTGAACATATATTTATACAATATTATAATTATATGAAAAAGACTAATACTTACTAATTTTCTATAAATCCCTCAAAATGTTAGCTTCATGAATTTACAAAAGGTATTCTTCAACTTTCCCTGTACTAAACCCCGTTGCTATCAACAGGCCAAACCATACCCTTGGAGAATCTTCGAATTTTATACCAGCCAACTAGGTTATATACATGTCACTTTACCTGGATAACTCGCCAGGTAGTTTATGAAAAGTTACCTTGCTTTGATGAGGTATGTTGTTGCAAATATACTACTCGAGGATCAGGTTACATTACCTATTACTTGCCTACCTCGTTCATGTTATTTGTTCAATCAATATGCCTACCTCGTTCTTGTTATTTGTTCAATCAAATGCAGGCAGTCAAACGTAGAGAAAACATAAATAAACTGGACAAATGAATACGTATCTAATTATCACAGTAAAACTCCTATGTTTACATACACGCCTTTCGATTTGTTTATTTGACTTTATTAACCCGAATACTTGCATCGTTCCATTTGTCAATCAGCCATATATCTTCTGTGACTTGAAATCCTCCGTTTCCACTTTTATCTGAATTTTCTTTCTCCTCGTACTTAGAACAATAACAACAACAACAACAATAACAACAACACATACCTCTACCACTACTGGCGTTGTTACTAAAACTAAAATCAAACCACATCTCAGCATATCTTCAAGCAGTATTATCACCACAACTTATGTTGTAATTTGTTATAGTGCCATAACAGCTTTTTGCGACTTTTTCCTTAACCAACGGTGATGATAACAGTGATAATGATGTTAATGGTGGTAATGATGATAATGGTGGTAATGATGATAATGGTGGTAATGATGATAATGGTGGTAATGATGATAATAGTGGTAATAATGATAATGGTGGTAATGATGATAGATAACAGTGGTAATGATGATAATAGAGGTAATGATGATAATAGTGGTAATAATGATAATAGTGGTAATGATGATAATGGTGGTAATGATGATAATGGTGGTAATGATGATAATAGTGGTAATAATGATAATGGTGGTAATGATGATAGATAACAGTGGTAATGATGATAATAGAGGTAATGATGATAATAGTGGTAATGATGATAACAGTGGTAATGATGATAATGGTGGTTATGATGATAATAGTGGTAATAATGATAATGGTAATGATGATAGATAACAGTGGTAATGATGATAATAGAGGTAATGATGATAATTGTGGTAATGATAATAATGGTGGTAATGATGATAATGGTGATAATAATGATAATGGGGATAATGATGATAATGCTGGTGATCAATATTACTAATCATTTCCCAAAAATGAGGAATAAAATAATGCAATAAACTTACCAATCATAGCATATGCAACAGTAGAGTGTAATAAACATACCAATCATGGCATATGCAACAGTAGAGTCTAATAAACATACTAATTAGGGCATATGCTGCAGTAGAGTGTAATAAATATACCAATCATGGCATATGCAACAGTAGAGTGTAATAAATATACCAATTATGGCATATGCAACAGTAGAGTGTAATAAAAATGCCAATCATGACCTATGCAACAGTTGATTGTAATAAACATTCCCATTAGGATATATGCAACGGTAGAGTATAATAAACATGCCAATTAATGAACATGTAATAATACAGAGTGGCCATCGTACCATTCAATGCAAAAGTGATAGTGTGATGATTTATTAATTAAGTCATTTAGATGGAATGGATCCTACTGTCTCTACAACACAAAGGTTAATATATCGGTAATCACAATGGTTGACAAGGATGATGTTCAATTTTAATCGTATTGATTTAAATTAATTTTCGAAAAGTCATAATATTGATGAAAATGATTCATTTAAACCTTTCTAAAAATGGAGATTAAAATTTGCTCTTCACATCACGATTATCAATACACCAAAAACCCCTGTAACTGCCTCTATACGTATCTCGTTGAAGCAAATCGAGTTGACGTTAAACGACAGATACCCGGCGAGATATCATAATGACACGGTATATCAATATCAGCTTTGTTGGCCGCATTTACTTAAATATAGCATTGCTTTATGTTGGCTAAGAACACGTGTATTTCAAAAGAACTGGTCGATTTGGTGGATAATGTCTTTATGTTCGATTGACATAGACATATCGTGACCATAACGTAAAACTGAGGCATTGATTTAACTTATTCGTTCAATATATTATCCCTTTGTGCCAGTAAAACATTTCGTCCGCTTGATTGAATCCAATAAATAAAGTGTCACGTATCTTATGTTTTCTTCCTGTCATGTTTTGATTCGGTGGGTTGGTATTTTAGTTAAATATATAAAATAATTGTCTTAGAAAAAGATAAAATCGTGTACCTTATTTAATGGACTTATTTATGTATGTACTCTGTAGAAACTAAATACCGAAATCACCGCACAATGTAAATGTGACGTGCAGCTCGCTACTAGATTTAAGGTCAACGTGTCGAAAAAGACATAAATTTCAAGATACCCACACGTATGGTATAAACAAATTAAACATGGTGTATCAGAATTAGTAAATGTATGTTAACTTTGCAAATTAACTTTGAAATTGACATGGCCTTGGTACCTATAACAACTGTATAAAAATCCTTGGTACCTATAACAACTGTATAGAAATCCTTGGTACCTATAACAACTGTATACAAATCCTTGAACAAAATATTGTTTAGCTGCCAAGATTTGGACAACAACTTTAGCAGTAAATATTTCCCAGACTATTTCATGATAAAATAACCACATTGTAAAATATTGGTCGCCATAGGCTAGAACACAACTATCTGTAACGGCAAATATTTGTGAGACTAAATCATGATACGACAACTACGCAACAAAATATTGGTCACATTAGATCAGGATACAAACATCTGTAACGGTAAATATTTGTCAGACTAAATCATGATACAACAACTACACAACAAAATATTGGTCACATTAGATCTGGATACAAA